CAAAAAAATAATGCAAGTAGTAATGTAATAAATATCTCTTTAATAAAGTCTAATAGTTTTTTCATTTAAGTCTAAATTAGCATCAAATTCAAGACATTTAAAAGTAGCTATTAAGTCACAATCTTTCTATTCATCTTTAAAGACATTTCTAAAGCCTCTATTACCAATTATTATAGGATATAAATTTATTATATTCAAGATAACCTTCGAAAATAGCTTTTTCAAACTATTTTTTCTAACTTTTTGTGTATTCACATATGTTGCGCTAATTGAAACTAGCTCTTAAATTTAATTCAGATGCTTGAAATTGCAAATTTAAACAATATTATCAGATGCTACTTAAGTTTATATATATTGTTTTGGAAAAGCACAATTTAAAGATTATATTATTTTAAAAAAATGTATTAGCATATTGTTCTTATTATGCAAAGTAAACTAAAATCTAACTATATATTCTCTTTATTTGAACAGTATAAATATGTATGACCGCTTGCTTGACAAATTCTACATGGTGTAGTGCAGCTTTTTGAATTATAACTATTCTGATAACAATTCTAACATGCATAATTATCACTTGAATTTTTATTTTTTTTGAAGTTCTTGAATTTCCTTTTACAATCAATTTTAATCTCTTACATGCCCATCCATGCGTAATAGCTTTTAATAGATTTTTAATATTTAGACAGCTTGTGTTATCTGTTGAAACAATGTTGGATTCTTTAATTTGTTGGATTAAACCTTGTAATGTTGCAGAAATATGGGATAAATTAAAATCAGCTGCCAACATTGCTAATTTTTTCCTAATGATGCATATTCTCTATAAATTTGATGTTTTGTAATCATCAATTCAATTTCAGAATCTTTATTTAGATTATTTTGTTTAAGGTTTTGAACTTCACTCATAGGCATTTGAGATAAACCGATACTTGTATTATTTATCTCGACTGTTATTTCAGAATTATTAAACATTGTATTAATATCATGCAAGATAACAATTTTTTTGTATCAATGGTTTTTTATTAATGAAATTGAAAAAATTGCATTATGTGTTTTCAACATTATTTGAAAAAAATGCTAGTATACAAGACCTTCACTAAATAGAAGCAGATACATACAAATATGTGAATGATCTTTGAGAAGTACAACATAATTTAATGATGTTGAGGTAGTTGACATGTGCTGAACTTCCCAAATTTCTATAACATTTATGATATTAACATGTTTCATAATTAATTTAAGTGCAATTTGAGATTTATCTATGATATTCTCAAGGCAAACTGAAGAATCACTTGTATCAGGCTAAAAAAAAATTCATTACTATTTAAATAGTTAAAATAATATTAATTTTAAATATGAATTTATCTAACACATTATATAAATTTTATCTTATTACATGAAAAATATAAATCATCAGGAACAATTGACAAAAAATACTTAAAACAAACATTAATTTGGGCCTTCTGAATTTCAAAAATCCTATCTGTCAAAACTAATCTTAAGGTTTCAACCAACTGTGAGAAGACTCGATTTGCTAATGAAGACAATACAATATTAAAAAGTAAACTATCTAAATAGTCACGATATTTGAATTTTTGCAATTATGACACTAATATATTTTGTATGCTATTAAAAAATTTCATCAATGTCGAATACGAATTAACATGTTGATGAACTACCACATTGAGTGATTCTACACATTGGATAGACAACATGCTAGCATTAAACTTCTATATATAAAGATATTTAATAAAACATAGTTATTGTAATAATTTAAAGTATCATTAAAACTTAAATTTATTATATACAGTATATATTTTCTAATATATACAAATTGCAATACAAATACTTAATGAAAAAATTTTTAATACAGAAAGATAATTTATTATATCATCTTAACAGTGATTTTTCTAGTACTTAAATCCTAACTCTTACCTGAAAGATAAAATATTTTGCCTACCAAATCTTAATCAGATACAAAGTATTTTTTAAGTATAATGATATCTCAGGATATTTTGTACACAATGATTCAAATCGTGACTCAAAAACCTCTTAAAACAATATATTATGGCAAGAAAAAAAATCATTCTGAAATTCGACAAACTGAGAACCCAAAAGACGTATTAGATGCTTTTTGATATTTTGAAAAATATAAAAAATATAATTTAGGTATCGTGTATTTGGAAATATAGTTTCTATTGCTGATCCTAACCCAACATCGCAGTCAGAAAATATTGTAGTTGGTTCTAAATTATTTGTTGCCTTAAGAAGGTTATTGAGAACCATATATATGATGTCATTGTCTTATCAGATATTAACGTCTGAGCCAAAAATTTTGAATACTGGTGTTCATCTACTCCCACAAACAAATATAATGATAATTGTTACTTGTTCGTCTGTGCTGTATTATCAGTCAATATAATATCGTAATATCTTGTATAAATATTTTTTTGAATAGATATCATCCAAAATAGATAATAGAGCCGATTTTTAATACAATGTTCAGAAATAAACTATGCAGAATCATCTTCCTTCATTTTTTGCAAAGT